CGATAGGCAAAATAGAAGATGAAATTATTTTTAGTTAGTATGTCATAGTGATGAAAAGCTATAAATAATTAGCTGGCTTTAATAGGAATGGAGTTTATATGTACGGAAATATAAAATGTTAGTAATGGGGTGATGAGAAGATGCAACATTGCTTTTATGGGGATCCTTAAATAATACCATATTGCTTTTGCGAAAAAAGGTCAATTCTATAGATGTGGAATCCATGACACGATTGTGGGTGACATAGACATTGGGGGAACGTGGTCCACCAAAAGCAAAGGTACAACCGACTTTTTCATGATGCAGTTGTGAATGCGAGGACGAGGGGTAGTGTCTGTAGAGGTGTTGGGCTTACTTCCATTTCGAGTGAAAGTGTTTGATGAAGAGACTCGAAGATCGATTCCACCAGAAGACGACGGCGGATTTCTCTTAACCAGTTGTCGATAGGTTTTACTGGAAGATTCATGCTGACGCTGTTTCCGAGGTAATCTCCTTCGATTCCGGTTAAAACGTGCTAAGCTTTCGTCCGTCATATGATGGACATCATCAAAGGAATGTATGATTCTTACAACCAAATTCAAACTAAAGAGTCAAGTAAACTCATCGGCACATCCATAAAAGGCTGTATACATAAGCTACATTTCACGGTCATCTCTCGACCCATGTAACATAAAGCGAAGTATGATTCACCGGCACTGAGTGCCATGGGGACTAGGCACCACATAGAGCCAATCAGAACGTGGCAATAAAAGTACACAAGAGTATTTTAAGTCGGAAACTAGTTAGGTTATGAACAGATACCTTCATTGCGCCGCCTTGCTCCATCGTCATTCTCTGTGACCGAACGCTGCCCTGTTGCACCAACACCACACTCCAGCATCGTCTAAAATTCTGATTCACTAAAAGTCTTTTTCTGGCCACTTTGTTGAGGTATAAAGTGAATTGATCAGTTTCAGTCACATGTCAACCTCAAAGCATATGAGCATCTGTGTCTGTATTTGTATGTACCTGTGTGTGTACGCCTATGCACAAAGACAGCCGTGATGGCTGGAAGAAATTAGGACAGTAAAAGTAATGTCTGTTTTCGGCCATCAATGTTTTGATGACCCCTTCCTACATACATTTTATAACCATCACTCCGATTGCGCAAGTTTGAACACACGTCTAGTTATATTGATGAACCTTTCATTGTTTTTGGTCTTCATGCGAGAGAGAATGAGTGAGCTAAAAGAACGGTAAAGTGACTATGATTAGAAGCAAGACAGGAAAAGACTAGTGGAGTCGCCTCCATTTTGTAGGCTGCTCAACACCCTCTCAATCTTTGAGTCTATTAATTAAACACAAATTAATTTTAGTTATCTTCTTGCCGGTATTCCTTACATTCCCTATTCGGTTTATTTTGATGGCCTCTTTAAGCTTTCGTTTAGCCGCAGATATGTCATAATCAGCAAAATAAGAAGTTTGAGACCATTCAATCTCGTGTCCTGTTTCTGGCCGGAGCTTAGCCAGCTCCAATTTTCGAACCCAACGGTCTTTGCAAGCGCGTTTACGCTCAGCTACCCTTTGTCAAATGGGACGACAAGTCTCTAACATAAAGCGACCACATGAACACACTATCTTGTAGCAACCCGATCTAGATAATGGGTCAAATTTCTCTCTAAAAGTGGGCATAACTGAAGAAAGTGTCTTAGTTTCCCTGAAAACCGTTTTTATTCCCCACTTCCCTACTTGTTCATCTATCCTTTTAGAGAGAATGCACCGAGTTAAAGACAAAACATGAGAGGTCTCCTTATCTCTCCTCACGTATTCGCCAGTTAAAAATGTATTCTTTATTAGTCTAAAATTATTTTCAGTCAAGCCTTGAGGATAATTATTCTCAAGAAATATTATTTAAAACCGATCCAGTTCATTGTGACCATGGTCTTTAATTGTTAGTCTTATGCTCCGAAAATACATAATTTTTAAAACTTCAGCCTTTGTTTTGTAACTATGATTGTAGAAGAAGTTAAAGATAAGGCCAGCATGCGTTGGCTTTTCTATATACATCCCTGCTTAACTCCTCACCTGCTCTGATCACTAAGACATCTAAAAGGGTAAATTATTGTTCATTTCCATCTGCATTCTCAACGTAACATTGCAGTCAATCAGTTTAATTAAGAACAAGAAATTATCTAAACTATCATTACCATGCTGCCATATGGCAAAGTTGTCATCCATATATCTAGCTAACAGTTTTGGTGTCGATATTACCTCTTCCATTAAGTTTTCCTCCATTCTTGACATGTAACTATTAGCTAAAATGGGAGCCTGGCCAAACTGGACTGCAATTTCTACCTCGCCTGGATTTCATCAACACCCCCGGCAAGACCCAAACCTGGGTATTGTGGCGTATCCTTCATCCTGGATGAAAATACCTTTTGAGAAGAAAGGTTATGTGAAATTGATAGTAAATATGAGACCTAATAAGATAATTGTGGAAGAATTCAACTGCCTCTCCTTTAACGAAATAGGGTAAGTACCTCATATATATGATCTACTGGCAGCCTCCAAACCTACTTAAAGGCAAAAACAATTAGAAGTTGTTTGACTTGTTTTTGCAACTTGGTCATATTGGCAGGAAGACTTAGAGGAACGCACCTAGTCCGGAGTCCATTGCATGCATCATCATTTCCAAAGTAGGACCGTGGACGTGGTACATTCCCGGCTTTATAGTCGGCATCGTCAGGGAATCTTGCCATTGTCAGCAACATACTACAATTCGTCAAAGAGACAAGTGAAGCCGATCCTTTAGCAAAATGTGTGCTAAACAGTTTTGGTATCTCTCCTTCTGTCCTGGGCAATTTACCTTTCCTATATCCTCGTATCACGCCCTATTGAGCTGATTTCATGAGAACCCTCCACACTGCCGTTCTCATCCCTCTTCACCCTTGTGCTGTGAATGTTGATCAGAGTCTGCCATATTGTTATGTAGTCCTCCTTCCCTAGGTCTTATCACAGTCTCTTTCTTGCTCACTAAGATCCGTCTGGCCTCTCCCCGGTTCACATATATTTTTATTCGACCCCTGCAACCCCATCTGTGCCACTCGAGGCATTATTACCCCTCCCCTGCGTCTGGGTGACTAATTCGAGGCTAAAGCCTCTGAGTAAGTCTCATTGTCAAGCATTTGCTGCATGGCTCTTGTGTGCTAACCCACAAATGTTGTGATTCTGCTTGCTTTTACTAGGTTCAATATGTGAACCAGGGAGAGGGCAGACGGATCTTACGAGGCAAGAGAGAGACTGTGGTAAGACCTGGGGAAGGAGGATTATGTAACAATATGGCAGACTCTGATCAACATTCACAGAAAAAGGGTGACGGGGGTTGAGAATTGCAGTGTGGAGGGGGAGGGTTCTTATGAAAGCCGCCTAAAAGGGCGCCACACACTAGATTTAAATAAGCAAGGAAAATATTTGAAGATGTGAAGACCAAGATGTTGTGGCCTCGGGTATGGTCGCAGTCTCCTTTCGACTTATAGA